TACATAGCCCAGTCTCGAATAGAGCTTGCGAATACCTGGTGCCCTTCGTAATAAGATAGCCTTACTTGCGCAGCAGAGGCTATGCTTAAGTAAACCTACCAAAAAACAATATTAAAGCCCGACTTTTCTGGGAAAAAGACATAAAGAACTAGTTGTTTCGTGAAGAGAGCGCGTTTAGTTATGTCACAAGCTCGAACGCAGACAGCACAAAAACAGAAGCTAAGCTTGGTCTAGGTGCAAGTTCTCACACTAACTATGTAGCTGAAACTAAGCCTGGTTCCAGAAAGCCAACGAGCTGTTTTAAAGGGGTCGGATGAGGATGTTAGATATGTTAATCTGAGGAGTTATGCAAAGAGAGATTGGTATCAAGCGAAGAATCGCTGCATGCAAGACATGTGTTTGGTATTTTGAGGTTAAATCAGATAGGTAAAAGGGCTCCGCGCCCATTATATAGTGTATAATTTGGAGAATTCTGTTAAATAATTTTGCATTTGAGCTACTACCCCAATCGTAACCATCAACCGTTCACCTCTTCCAAAATAATCCACTAGTTCACATGAAATAAACAGACAATGCGGAGTGTATATGCGTAATGTCACTCAAACTCCACTAGGATGCCGTCCCAATTTAGCGCGTTCTTACTTCTGCTGCCAATAAGTTTGGGTAAGCGACGAACTGCTCGAATGCTTCGAGTGTCGCTTTGCATCTATCATTAAATGGAAAAATTCCTTTCTTTGTCTTATAAATGACACTTACGTGCCCGAATCCGTCACAAGACCTAGCCGCTTACCGGCGAGCCAATATGGTATATGACATGCTAACGCATTGCAGTCTCTGCAACTAAATTGGCTATAACTGTAGTTAGCTATAGACACAAATGAATATGTGTGTGTACGAATATGTGCTTTGTCGGCTCGCCCTGTCGGCCATCATGTAGTCTACACACGTTCTATAGCTCATCATCACCGCCAGCATTTACAGCACGTCAATGCAATTCCATCCACTCATTATTCCAAAACATATGTATGCTGTTTGTTGTCTGCAAATAGTCCTCTCCTCTTCGAAACGGATATGCTCGCTTCACTTCGTTTTTGTCATTTTTTCTCTTATTCTTAGTGCTTTTTGACACGTCATTTTAATAATATTTATGCACCTCAGGCAACAGCTTAGCGCTGGGAGGTGCCGGTATTCAAATACGAGTATGTAATGTTTTGAATCGTCGCCTTTCAGTGGAGTGCCCTTCAATCACCTCTCAGTATTAAAGTGTTCGAAAAATTATCAAAAGAAGGATGAACGAAAAAAAGTGAATGTTAAAAATTTAACTAGTTCCTTTTATAAATATCGAAGCGCATTAAGGGGGTATTCAAGTCTAGAAATCAAATTCTGGGCAGTTTTTTGAATTTTATTAAAAAAAACAACCAAAAAATATTTTTACCATCCATTTTTTTATACTGTTTTTATTGATATCTTAAGAATACAGAAAAAAAATTTTACAAAAATATATTAAAAATTAAAATAATTAGAGGGGGGAGAGAAAGGTGTAGAAAAAAAGGCGCATCCTGGTGACATTGATCCTGACTCTCCTGGTGGTCTGAAAAAAAAAAATCAAAAGAAATTCTTAATCAGTAAGGACGCTGTTAGAGTCCCTAACTCAGGGAAACAGAATTTTTTTTTTTTTTTTTGAAAAATGGCGACTGCCTGAAAATAAAAATCATTTTTACGCTTTTTTTTTTTTTGAATTCCTGATTTTTTTTTTAAATATTAGAAACATAAATTTTGACACGATGCTGGTAGGAACGATAAAGGATTATATAAAGAAGGTTCACACAAAATTTCAAGTAAATCGGTTGTATAGAACTTGAGATAATGCCGTTACCGTGTGGAAAAAAGTAGTTTCGAGAACAACGCGTTTAAAAAAGTGAGTAAAATTTCAGGCAGTCTAAGTTATTTATTAGTGCGCTAGGTACTGTGTCACTAAAGTAACTGTAGCTCTAAAAATAATTTTAATTTTTAAAAATCCTTTGGAGGATATGCTCTTAAGGGTCTAAACTTTAAATATATGAAAAAAATCGAATTTTTGAAAATTCTAGAGTAGAATACCCCCTTAAAACTAGTTAGATATAAATTGTCTTACGAAAGTATGAGCTAAATCGATGACTCTGCCCACAAACCTATTATTGATGTAACTTGGTACACATATTCCTAATTATTCAAAAACACAAAAAAGCTGACATTGGAATGTGGGAAGAATTTTATGTACCGATTTATGTACTATGGTTTCACCTAAAGTAGGGCTGTGCCACTTCCACTTTTTCAAAAATATTAGCCCACAGGGGCTCATGCTACTGCGTTCCCCCGTACCAAATTTCAGTTGTATATCTCAATTTAGTGCTTAGTTATGTCACTTTATAGGTTTTCCTTTAATGGCGTTTTGTTGATGTGGCAGTGGTTGGATCAAGCCCGTCTACGAACTCGTCCTCATAAACACTAGTACCAAGATTCTTCAAGATATCTTAATTTTTAGTCACTCGGAACTCAACCCGTCTCATCACCCATATACAAGTATATAACCCAATATCTAACTCAATTATTTTGAGTTTATACAAACAACTGTTAGTTGAACAAAACTATTATAATTTGTAGCAACATGCTGCGAGAATATAAAAATGTTGTGTAAGAATGCTACTCACCTAATTTCATTACATTTTCTTTCGTGTCCAAAACTTAGAAAAAAAATAAAAAAATAAAACTGAAACTAAACCTTTTGTTTATACATATAATGCGTATATCATTATGATATATGGTGCAGAGGTTTGAATGATGACAACATCTGATAAGTCGGCGAGTTTTCGTGAGAAAGGTCCTGCGGTCTTTGCGCATTGGCAACGGCAATTACCACAGTCGATGGAACGATGAGCTGTACGAGATATACGACGAGCAGTTACGCCAAGTCATGCCGTCCGAATACATGAAAACACTCCAGCTCTGAGAGTATTCGACGCAGTACCAGGCGGGAGAAGCAAAGGAAGATGAAGGTCACCAAGCCGTTGGAAAGACCAGGCGGATAAGGACCTGGCCACACTTAGTATCTCCAACTATCGCCAAACATTGAAAAAGAAGAACCACTGGCGCGCTATTGTAAACTCGGCTAGAGAGTTGGAAATCGTTATTTTAGGGATAAGAGTTTCAGTGCAAGATCTAGACCATTTTCATGGATATTCAATAATAAAACACATTATGATTAGAAATTCTCTTGATTTCATTAAAATCAACCTTACATTTTAATAAAAAAAAAGGTTTATAGTCAGATGAAAAGTCACAGATGGAAACCATTATATTCTGTATTTTGATTATCATCATTGCATTAACTGTAAACTTTATTCAAGTAAAAAGTAACTTCGACAACATGTGTGCGGGTATCTAACATATTGACTGAGATATTCAGTATAAATAGAGTCTGCTATAATAACAAGTCATTATACAATATGTACTATATGGAAGCTGTGGTAATTTATGGAGCAATTTCAGTATTATAATATTGTGTGTCCGATTTATACGCTCACTTAATTTTGCTAAATATCTTAGTTAGAAAATTTGAAAATCATATATAGTATTAGATATATTGAGACTACGGGAAGTAGTTATATTGATCGGACGTAGTCCATGCTAAAACGAAAAATCGTGAATCGGGGGACTGGAGCTAAAAAATGACTGTATAGGCAAAATATTATAGTTATTTGACTTTTCCAACTATTTTCAAAAAAAAAAAAAAAAAAAAAATAGCAGGTCAACACTAATAAATCGTAAACCCTTCGGTTATGGAGAAACAACTGTTATTAGAATGGCCATTGGAGATGTTGTTACCTGATTTAAATCCTAAATGAATTGAACATGCATATATCAGGAATGTCTCTACACATCTGAGCTATTCGCAAACATATGCGGATCAAAAAATCAGCAGTAAATATGCCGACAGCTGTTTCTTAGTAGAAGCTATTTTCAGAAACTATTCTGGCTTGAGGTGAAATCGCCCGAAGTGAATATGCCATATGCCGACGTATAAAAACCTGAGCAACCCTTGCTATACGGCGCTCTAAAAATTGTATTAAATTGTTAAACGCCTTATTTATACATAATATAGGTATCCTGATATATCCAACATATGTATTTCCTTACCCAACTTTTCTACAAGCACTCTCCCTAATTGCTGCTGTTGCAAATCAAACAGTAATTTCGAGCCATGGTGTCGAGTTGACAGTTCTTGGCCATATACTATAAGAATACGGTTACTTAGACCCCTCTGTCTTTCCCTATATTCAGATTCTTTACAAACCTATATCTACCTTTAAATCAATGACAATTAGCTTACCTCTCGTCCAATTAGGATAAGGTTATCCATAATAACAACACCACTGTGCTAAGGCTTGTGAACATCAAATAACAAAACTTGTACCGAATTTTCATTAAACATTTACCGATTCCCACATCAGAAAAACTTAAAGCTTCACTTACAAAGTTGTGACATGTAAAAACTCGGCTATTTTAATGACTTTAATATATTTAGATTTTTTCTTTACAAATGAGACGATTATTTCTAAAAAAAAAAAATAATGTCAAATAATATTTTTCGTATAAATAAAACTTTTTTGTTTTTTAAATAAGCAAAACAAATAAAAAAAAATACAGAAAATGGGCTGCATTATAGATGCGCTGTGTGGCAAAGACGAAGATGTAAGCAAATTAAGAAATAATTGTATAACAAAAATAACGGACCAACATCAAAAATGTAATAATTCACAGTTGCACTCACCAACAACTAAATTCAAATTTCATAACATCAATGAACCAATCAAATACAGTAAGGAAAATCATAAACACATGCCGTGCAGCCCACAGCGTTGGACAAATCAGTACAGAATTCCAGCTTTTCCTTGATTTTGAAATAATAGTGTTGACAATATACAATCATTGCAATCAAATAATATAATAATATCACGCTTAAATTAAGCCGCAAATTCTAAGTCTTAATAACACTGGATATGTTATTCAATAGTGCCTGCCATTCGAAACCAAGCTTACCATCCTCCAGCTGTAACTTGCAGTAGCTTGGTATGTGCTCGAGCAACAGTTGAAAAGGCGTATATTTAGACAGGCACGCAGCGTCGCCAACAAGTAGTAGCTTGCGTTTAGCGCGTGTAATCGCCACAGTAAGGCGACGTTTGTCCTCCAGAATTTCTGCTTCACGGGCACGTTCATTGGCATCCACAGCGCCAGTGCGCGTGCCAGAAAAGAGTATAATATCTTTGTCTCGCCCTTGATATTGATCAACCGTGTTGACTTCGACCGAGACAAAATTCAGCTTCGACGTTCCGGTATTATGGTGAAGCTCAAACTGTGCAGTTAAGTTAAGCAGCAGCTCCACTTGTGCGCGATAAGGCGCAATCACGCCAATCCGCGCCGGTGCATAACCTGCCAGCAGTAATTTCTCAACTATATGCATAATAATTGCAGCTTCGCAATAATTTGTATATTTAGAAATACGCTTGGTGCTTTTATTCTGTTTTTCATTGGCAATTGGTGTTGAAGCGCATTCCAGCGCAGTGTTCTTTTCGCCGTTGTTAAATGCGTTGAGCCGTTCAGTGCAGTCCTTGGTATCCAATAAGTAAACCGCTTGATCTATATGAGTTTGCAGGGCGCGCTGCAACCACTTCGCAGCTTCATTATCCTTTGACAAATTCACCTGAAGCGTGTCCAGTTCAACCTCTTTAGAGGCACATTGCAGGGCGCCCTTGTAAGTGAGTTCGTTGGCCAGTCGCGTTATGGATTTATTCATGCGATATTGCAGTGTCAGTACTGCTGTGGCGGTTTTTGTGTCAAGGCGCTCGAAAAGTGATTCGTCTGCACCAAGTTGTTGCGCCTCTTTTGAACGTATCAAAGGCGGCAGCTGTTCGGGATCCCCAACTAATATAAATTTATCACAAAAGAAGAGCGGACGCAGCGTTGTCGGCTGCATAACCTGAGTGGCTTCATCGACAATGCAAAAATCAAATTTTTTATGTAAGAACAGCGGATGCGCTGATCCTAGACATGTGACGCCAACAATGTTATACGAATTATATTTTTGCGTTAAGTCTTCCACAGATGCGCAGTCTTGCAGCACTGTGCGTTCCGCAAACTCTTGCAGCTCGTCGTTAATACGTGCACCGGAGCCCAAACGCAGCATCGGCAGTTTATGTGTCTTCAAGCGCACTAACAAATTGTCGACTGCGGAGTGTGTATGACTGGTGATGAGTACCGATTTACTCATCAAATGTAATAGGCGCACAATCGCCACGAGTGTTTGCGTTTTGCCTACGAAAACAAAAAAAATATATGCCATGATCAACCAGATACGAAAGATATCATTTACTTACCCGTGCCTGGCAGACCTTTGATTAGCATATAGCGTTCTACGGTTAATGCCTTGAGTACGGCAGATCGTTGCACCGAGTTCAGTTGTTTGAGTATATTTGCGCCAGCAGTTGCAACAATTTTTGGCAGTACTTTGCGGTAAGTGGGTTGTACGCGTTGCACTATAATATCCCGCAACATTTTCGCACGCTCGTTATTATCTAGCAACAAGCTGACATTTGTGAAATTGAATGCGTTGCCCGATTGTGATTCATGTTTGTCGATGATAAATGCAACGTTTGCATAGTTTTTCTTTAGATCGCGTTCGAGACTAACGGTAATTTCGGTACTTGTCATATTGACAATTGAGCCAGCTGCCACAGCCAAACGTTTCCGTGTGCTGATTATCACATATTCGCCGATAGAGAACTAAAACAAACGGAAGATATTAAAAAAATACAAGACTACGTATATTTGTTGTTATAATTACACCACTCAACAATAGATCCGCGTCTTTATAATCACCAGTCGCCTCTATCATGAAATTGTTTAAATAATGCCTTCCCTCACAAGTAACGTTTTTCAGCTGTACATCCACAATTGCGACACCATTTTTCTTACGTTGTTCCGGTGTACTCGTCCACAAAGTACGCAAGTTGTTCGCTTTCTTCATTTCTTTTTCTTCTAATGCAAGCAAACGACACCAGTGAATAAAATACTTGTAATCGTCTGTTCGTAAGTGATCGGTGACATTCTGCATAACTTTTAATAAAGGATGACCTTTTCTTAAGTGCAGTTCTGGATCAGTTTTGGCGAAAGTGCAGCAAACGGTTGCATATTCACAATTGCCACAGGCGCTATGATGTGAAATGGGTTCGGGCAACTCTATAGGCTGTAAAAATTTGTCCTGTTCTTCAGTTTCTACGAGTGATGTATTAGTTGCAGGTGTTTCACTTAGATATGATAGATAGTGCGCTAAATCATTACGTAACATTACAAGGTCACGCTGCTCATTACGGGTTCCACGTAATTCGCGCACTATGCCTTCGCGTAAATAAAGTAATAAACTGGAATTGGTTTCACGTCCAATTGCAGTTAACATCATTTGGTACAGCATAACCTGACCCTTATGTTCCATTGAAAAAGTGGCGCGTCCAGTTTTCAATTCTAACGGTATGACATTTGTTGTTTTTTCGTGTTTTCGTTGCTTGATGCGAACCGATACATCTACTTTACCTTTTAAACCGAGTTGTGGCACCCAAACATTCTCTTCAATGTCCTGTATGTGTTCAATAGTACCTTGGAAAGTATCTTTAAGATGCTGTTAAATTTAAAAAAATAATTTAAAAAGTATTAATTAAAATAATCTAAGCACATTTATTTGTACGTACCACATTTGGTTCAATGCCTTTAATGTATTGTTCTACAAAACTTATCACATTGGGTATAAACTTTTGTAGTTCAAATTCTAGCTCATCACGTGACATCAAATTCGCATGGAGTTCATAAGCTGTTTCCTTGGAGTGTAATAATTCTCTAGCAGTGGACTCAATATCTTCTGCGTTTCTAAGATTTTTCTGTAGTACCAACTGCAGCATTTCATGTACCTTTGATCCCACTACCATCTGTAATTAACAATTAGAAATTATGAGTTGCAGTATGTGTACATTTAAACATATGCATATATAAAAGTGGGTACGCTTACAATTTTGCTATTTGCATCAATTCCTTTGAAGCGCTCTTGCAACACTGCTTTTCTCCGACAGAAAAGCGAACCAACTACACTAGTGCTAGAAATTAATGTGTCAGGGTTAGTGACACAAAATCCATGCTCATTATTCACTATATAGCACATTAATTTTTCATCCCATAAACATATTAGGGAAATAATGTCATCTCTCTTAATAACTGTGTGGCTCCATTGTTGCTGCAGGCGACATTTAGATAATAAAGTGTTATTTTCCTTTTCGAAATCTTCCACTTGATCGAAGTTTGCTAGTCGCACTTGCAGCACCAAATCGAAAGTAGATCGCTCGCGCTCCACTTCTAGTACGATGCATCGTTGCCATTTAGTAAGATCTAAGGATTTGCCTTGCAGCACTGATAAGCTTTTGCTATTTATAATTGCCTCAAAGTCATCATCACCGTCAAAAAAGTTTTCCAACTCTGTGCAACTATAACCATCGATATGAAATGGTTTTTCCTCGTTTTTACTAATTCTTAACTTCTTTGTGGGAGTTTCATTTTGTTGCTTCATTGGCGATGTAACTCTTTTTAATGTACTCATAATGTTATTTACACTAACGATAACAAAAATATAGTTCAATTATAGTATATAACAATTTGCTCAGCCGTCTATAAGATTATATCGGTTTCCCGCCTCTTTGAAACAACTAAACATCCGCCAAATATAAATATTTACATTTCATAACAAAATTATGGTGGTCATACACGTTAGAGTTCACTCTACGGGACTGTATGAACTCACAGCAATATTTTCCGTATATTTGAAACTAAATAAATGCTATTAAATAAAGTGAAATACATTTATTTTCTTTTCACAAAAGGATAATATAATGGATACTCGTATTATTTTTAAATCTTCGAATCTTCGAAGTTGGAAAGTATTGGTTGTGGGTTATTATTCACATTTAAAAACCAATAAACAATGAATTATAAAATCAAATCTAAATCCATCATAGTTTAATTTTATGGTTAAAAAGTGCAACACATAAGTTATTGGTTTGTTAAGTCTTCTTAAAATAAGTAACTCTCAAAGCTAATTAACTGGTTTACAGACCAACTATAATTTTCCAATTTCGCTAGGTGATGCTATTGTGAATATATTCATGCATGAAATAAGAACGTGCATCCAATTGACACTTGATGGAATTTGTAAAAAGTTGTTGGTAAATTTCTGTAGATTAACTGAATTGAATTTAAAGGCGCGCAWAATTGGATTTAGATAGTTTGAATAATTTATTAGTCCAAATAAACAAACAAACAATTTAGCACTCCAATACTCGTGAAAGTATTGGAGCATATACAAATGCAGTTTCGGCTGCATGCGTCCACAGGTAGTAGCCATAGAAACGTAAACAAATGGATTGAGTGAAAACAAAAGCCATAAAATTTCAAATTTTCCACATATTTTTAAATTTGTTTTCATTATATTTAAGATTTTCTTGCCAAAATTTAATTTCAGAATGATATAAATTTGAAAGAGTTAAGTAGTATTACACTGCGAAAATAAGAATTCTAAATTCAAAGTTCATATTACTAATTAAATTAACAACCAATAATCAGAATTTCCAGTGCGAAGAAAGAAAATATAAATATATCTATGGTTATAATAATGGAAGATATTAAGTCAGATATTATAAGCGCAGCAGGCACTACGCGCATAAACCCAATATTTGCCCCCTCTATATCTTCATCAAAGTTTGTGTCGGTGTTCCGCATCGATGGAGTTCCTATTATACCGCCATTAGTAAGTTTATATGATAACTTTACAGCGAACTAGCTGAAGCATTGTATTTGGGTGTGCGCTATAACACTAAAACTAATCGTCTTTTTACATATTCGTACACATACATATGTTCAATAATGTTTAAACAAATTCTAGATGACGGCCGACAAGCGACGACAAATGCAGAAATTAAAAGAAAAGGCAATTAAAATAGAGCAACGTTTAGAGGAAAATAGGAAACAGAGATATAACTTGGAATATTCCGCAGAGCTTGAAGAATTAAAAGAAGATACAGATGTTATAGATAATAAAAACGAAAGTAGTAGTAATTGTAGTTTATCTGAGCATTTAATAGAACTTGATGCCCAACGTATAGAAGCAGAGAAATCGTATATGTTACTTTCAGATATTCTGACACAGAATGAAAATGAATCGAAATTATCTACACCCAATCAGAATCGCGCGGAAATAAGTCGTCAAACTGCCGGTGAATGTAGTGAATTTAATGTTCAAATGCAACAGTCGAACTCTTTGGAAATCAATCTTATGCACCGTATGCAGAAGTTACAAAAATCAGAAACTTTGATTTACGACCATCGTTCTAATACAATCATCAGTCCTTTGACAGAGGACGAAGTTCAAATCTTCCAACAACAACAGCAACAAATAAATTTGGATCATCCAGATGAAAAGCCAATTGGACAAAAAGTTGAATTGACAAAAGAAGGCGAAAACGCAAATATAAATTGTGCTGCACGTCAGAAATCGGAAAAGGTTCTAAAGAAAATTCCATCAATTTGTATTGATCCACCAACACCAATAATTAGTTCGCGCTCATTTATTGATACTCTAAAAGCAAAAAATAGTATTGACACTATAAATGTGAATAAACAAGAAACACCTAAAAAAAATTTGAACAAATCGTTACAAGATGAAATAAGTTCAGACGAAAGCTTCGCCTGCATGGAGTCCACCACAAATCGTGAGCGAGATTTGAAAACTCATCACAAAGTAACGAGCATCACCAGCAAAATCCTTAAGTTTGAAAATTTTACCGTAACAGACACGAAAACGGATAAACCCAAGTGCTCTAACATAAAGCCACCACAGAGATCGGCAACAAGTCCATCATTGAAGCCATTAATATCCGAGAGAACCCAGTCCAAAATTAAATCTCTGGATGTTAGCCCTACGACGCAAAATGAAAACGGTTTAGTCCGCTCAAACTCCTTTACACTCGATTACCCTTCGAAAGCATTAATTGAACACATTCGTCAGCAACAAGTACCTAATGACGTTTATCCGACCAAACGTTCGAATTTGTTTTCTATGAGCGCCACACGCGACACTGTCGAATCAAAGGCGAAACGTGTGCAAAAAGTCGATCTTAAACCACGCCCACAACCAATGCGCTTACAACTAAAGCCTTCAATCACAAACATTACAAGTCCATCCTCAACACACAATTCAGGCACTAAAAGTAAACGTTCACCCTATGAGCAAAGACTAATTAAACCGAAAATTGGACGTCAGCTTAAAAAATCTGTTTCGGGTACAACCGCTATCAAACAAATGAAACCCACACCTTCGATGCCAATCATACAAACTACTAAAGTAACCACCGAAAGTGCACGCGAGTGCCCATCAGGCAATCAACAATACAACAGTATTGAGGATGAACACCGTCAAAAATTTCTCGAGTTATTGGCGCAACAAAAACGTGAACAACAACGAATGCAGCAGGTATTCGAAGAGCAACAAAGGTATTTGCTAGAACAGCTGACAAATAAAATAGACAATGTGCAAATACAACATGCTGTAGATCATGTGAACAACAAAAGAGTTGACAGTAGTTACCATGGCTCGGTAGAAAATTCACCAACAGCAAGGTCAGATTGTGCTGAATCAATGAGTGCGAACAGTTGTGTTGCAACAAATTCTTTGGACTTGATGTCAGGTACAATCCAACTACCATCGTTGGAGCTATCAATCGGCTCATCAACGTTGCCGATGACATCGCAAAGCAGTAATCACTGCACCCCTCGACGACGGCTTTTTTCGCACGACCTCTCACCAACAGCTTCAAACAGAAGTGTGTCGATTAGCAGCAACCACAGTGGAGTAACAAATAATGTTGGGCGCTCAAATGGCACAACTAGTGGAGCGTCAAGTAGTCGCGTAAGTGTGCATGACAGTTTTGAATAATAGATTTACGTGCATATATCCGAAAATTGCGAAGACTGGGAATCCGTCTTAAGTATACATACATATGTATGTAATATTCTATTACAAAAGTGTTGGGAATTACCTATCAAACTTTACATTGTGTTTTAAAAGTTCGAAAACGTTGGCCTTCAATAAACTCTATATGCAAAGTTTCATTTTGAACGTAAAAGAAAGATCATTAACTTGTGTAAAAATAGTTTGTTCCCAAAAAGAAAACAGTAAAAAAAAAAAGTATTAAACTCCCTTTTTGGAATAATTTTGAACTAAAATTTGCGAAATAAGTACCCCAGTGTAAATAAAAACACAAAATAACTAACGTAACATATAATTTACTAGAAAATGGGTTGAGAATTTGTTTAATTTCAAAATTGAAAATCCAATTTTCCATCTTGGAATAATAATTAAATTTTTAATTCCGAGTTTGGGAATTAAATTTTTGAAAAATAATAATTTTATTTTTAATTTAATAGTAAAAATTTAAAAATTACGCTTGAATCTCAAACATCTMTTTTTATTATTATGTTTTCAATCGTTTGAATGTGTAAGTTAGCCGCCCACTCATAGTGGGTTAAATACATATAGTATTTAATATGATGGCTCTATTCGTGCTCTAGTTCTAAATGGTTGAACACGAAGTACGCAAAAGCGAAAAAGTTTAATTTATGAAACAATTTTTTTTTAATAATATGTTTGGGATTAAGATTTTTTTTTTCAACCCGGTATTTGGGATTAAAAAATAAAAATAAGTGATTTAAAAATAAATTATACATTTTTATTAAGCTTTTTCACCCTCCTTTTCTTTACGCTTTTGTACAAATTGATTTGTGAAATTTTACCAACAAAAACAAATTAGCTAAACATCATAATATGTTATTTTATGCTATTTTCTACTTTTAAGATACTTTTTATACGCTATTATATGTAAACTAACATTTTTCTATTATTATCTCATATCTATTTTTTCTCTTTTCTATAAAATGAAAAAGCTTTACAATAACAGTTGATAACATTTCAATGAAAGGAGAAGCTTTTCCAATCGTTATTCAAATATATTACATAAATTTCAATAACTAATTCCAATATGATGATCTCTATCTGTGCCTTATTACTAAATAATCAATCAAATCTAGCCGCAACAATCAATACCGTCATTTAAGAATGCGCTGGAGTGTAAGAAACATCAAAGGTTTCGTTGGGAGACACACTTGTGCATATATTTATGGTTGACCATTACAATAAAATGTGCCACTTCGCATTTGACATTATTCTCATTTATTTGTTCACATGTATTTTCCTACATACCTACATATGTACATATATGTATGTATGCACAGAAGGATGGTAAACACACATTAAAACTGTTTTTTAAACTACTTCAATTTGAATTTCAAAGTTTTTTCAAGATAACACTTGTAAAATTTACACAAACGTATGTATTCATTTATGCAACATCCTTGCGGCTATCACCAAGTACCTAAATTGCCTAGAAAAAACTTAAAAAATTTTATACTCTCACTGAATAAGTTAGTAAATAAAATTTTAAACTTTCAAATGTACAAGTTTTAATTTCAATTATAATAAAAACATATATTGGCTACTCGAAAACATTTTTTTCCTAAAAAAAAGCAGCACCAATCGTTGATTACGAACACATCTGTAGAAGCTGAGCGACGAGCGTCTGCTGCAACCAAGATCAATGCGTATGTACGTGGTTATTTGGTGCGTCGTCTCTTTCAAACGGAACAAGTTCAGCGTGTAGTACAGACCATCAAAGATACATTAATATTCGTCTTGAACTTACACATGGAGACCAGCGAAGATCCAATGGAAGCGTGTGCACCTGATACTATCAAATTTAAAGCACGACTTTTAAAGCAGGTGAGCAAGCAAATTTTATTAATGCCGTGTGGTATATTTATAACCTGAACAGTGTCTAAAAACTTTGCCACAAAGTTTATAACATCAACGTGACGAGCTGATATCGGACTACTATAGCTGCCATTCAAACTGAACAATCAAAATCATGTCCTTTGAAAAATTTTTCTATTTGACCAGTTATCTTCACGAAATTTGGCACGAATAATTTTTGAAGGGACTGTACATATATTTTCCATATAAAATGACTTAAAATAGCTAAAAATTATAATATTTCCCTTTTTATTGTTTTATATTATTTTTGCCATAACTCATTTCAATTAATTTTTTTTTTATTTTGCAATTATTGTTGTGCTAGCAACAGCTATTTCCAAAATAATTTATACATTTAATAGAAATGGGAAGTACACATCTTCTTGGAAAACTCATTTTTTTTTTTGTTAATTAGGTGATTTTTCTATATTTTCGTGTCTTCTGTTAAATAGGGCAGGATTTGTGTAAGCTTATATGTACTCCTTTTTTATATTTTCTGTATGAATTTATTATTTACATTTTAATATACACATATATATTTTAGCTGGTTTCTGCGATACGCACCCTTCATCTGATTCTTTTCCAAACAACGCCTAAGGAACGTATGGAAATAATTAGTCGTGATCGTAAACGTATTAAAACCAAAATGCTGAAAAATAATTTGAAATGGTGATTAAATGCTCATTTTTATTAATAGTGTATTTAAACTGAAGTAGCTTAAGTCGACTTACATACGTTAATGGTGGCAATAAGAGTTATTCGAAGCTACTTACGCTAGACGAACTAAACGTTTTAAATTGCGATCAGAAAGCAAGATTTTTACTTTAAATTAATATGTTTAACTTCTTTTAAGTCGACTTAAGCTATATTAGCATAGGTATTATTACATTTAACAACAACTAATGACTTGATTACCCTTTTGCTTACAGGTCACCGCGCATTAAAACGTGATACATAACTCCATCTACCTTTCAGCACATTCTATTAGATTCATAAAAACTATTCAATAACTGAACTGTGAATTTCTTTTACACTTAAGAGAGCCAAGCTCATTTTCAAATACACAAAAGTACTACATTTTTATTTGCAAGAAATCATTTATTGCATGTACATTTGTTGGAAAAGCACATGAACAAGTAACAAAAATATAATGAAAATAAGCTGAAACAAGCTGCAATTATCTACGCTTCCATCGCTGGCACATACGTTTAAGTGAATTGATTCAATTCTTTCAATTCCAACATAGTATATCGCACTTTGCTGTTACTGATTAACGATTCACAATCATCCTCCTTCTTTGCTTCGGCCACACGGTTGCTTGGCTTCAAGCAGTCTACTAATCTGTTATCACATTTTTCCTTGCTACCGTCAGTCTTTTTTGTATCAGCCGCAATTAGCTCGCTAATTTTAATGCAATTCTCAAGTATACTATCTTTTATATTTTTCTCTGTCTTCGCCAACTTATCACTTCCTGAAGGCAATTTACCGATATGCAAAGCCTCAGCCGAGTTAGTCGGTGTTAACTTCGATTTTGAGCTTTTCATTGGCACTGCCGCGACGTTGTGATTGTCATTTTGCTTGCTATCTCCTGGTTGTCGTGTACCAATATAAACCTGTGACAATAGATGCTTTGGTGTTTTCTTTTCACAGTCGATGCCGCGATCACGCTTATACTGTTGCACTACCTTAACGAATGGATATAGTGGGCGATCTTTTTTATGTGCATCCTCCATAAGATTTCGTGCATATTCGAAAAAGTATTGATCTTCGCGCTCTTCGTTATTACTTTCGCAAGTGCGCATGAGCTCTTTGTCTTCCTTCTCGTTGCGTTTTTTCTGCTCCATTTGCTCATGTAAGGTTTTACGCGTGTCTTGCATTTTGGCTAGACGTTGTTGCTTTTGTGTTTCTTCAAATAGGCGATTTACTTCACAGTTCTTAAAGCGTGTTGCCATATCGTAACGCTTCTCTTCATCACTGCGACGCTTGGCCTCCTTTTGCTGTTGTAGCTCACGCATATAGGCCTCGATACGCGCTTGTTTTGCTGCTTTGTCCTTACGTATCTTCTCTTGCTCCTCTGCCGTGAATTTCAACTGCATACGACTGATATCACGACGTACACGTTCATCGTCTTCTGCTTCGGTCTTGGCTTGAATACAGCGAAGAAATTCAACTTGCATCTCTTGTTTCTTCTCTTCCTCTGGTGTGGGTTTCTTGTCCTCTTCTTGCTTTGCAGCATCCAAGTCTTGTTTGCCCAAATTATAAACACAACAAAGACGGTTTTCTATCTCCTCAGTCATACGTTCTCCTAGAAAAGAAAGATGATTTTAGATATAGGGGCGTAAAAATAATAATGGCATACTTAATCTACGCTGTTCAACCATTTTCATGGCCTCTAATGCGTTTTTACGCAAAGCAGCTCGTTTTTTCTCCATAATTGCTTTCTCCTTTTCGATTTGTGCTTTGATCTCCTGGTCCATAGCTTCTCGTACTGCTTGGTGTTCTTTAATTAGCTGCTTTTTAGCTTCCGCGCGTTGTTTAGTGCTGTCATTAATGGTCTGTAGCATTTCCTTTTTGTAAACATCCATTGCCTGATGACGTTCTAATTGCCGCTGAATATCCTCCTCCATGAAACCCAAAGCCTGTTGTTGGCAAGCCATTTTATCCATGCATTCTTGTTGTTTAATAGCCCTTTCGAACTCCTTGTTTATGTTTCTTTGCACGTTACGCGCTCGAAGGACTTCACTTTGTAAGGCAGCCGCGTGCAGCTGCTTGGGACCCGGTTTTAGTTGCTCGATTAGGTTTTGTGCTTTTGCCAGTTTCTCGCTCCGCTTGCGTTCTTCATTTTCTTTTGTCTTATGGAAGTTTTCCTGCACTAAATAAATAACATGTCACCAAGAATACATTAAATAACTTAAATTAATAAGAATAAAGTTCCTGGTGAAGATTTAAAACTGATAACATAAAATTAATATTTGTTTCGTTTTTATTTAAATATGACATTTTGCCCGATGTCAACCAAAATATTTTAAATATGTACATAAATATATAATTTTCGGATATTTTTCTACTTAAATTTTGATTGAAATACGGGAATTGGGTCTAGTAGTGGTGTACTGAATGTTACATGTGAGGCTTTTTGGCTTTCTGAGTTGTTTGTATTTAACTGGTAATATTTTAGCCGGTTTATTTTTATACAAGTATTGAGATGGCTCACTTTTTGTAATCTTCTCTTCCATATGCACTTTGATTTCAGCCAACTTCTCATCCTGAGTTCGTTGTATGTTACCCTTGAAATGTGCAACCAATTGATCGGAGCCCTCTTTCAAATACTCTTTGTACTTCTGTTCCTCTTCTAGTTCTTTCTGAGCTCGCAGCTTATCCGTCTGGTTAGCATTGTTTAACAATTTGTTAAAGCGCTGGGATGAGAGTACTATAGGCTTCTTATTACCGACTTTCGGTAGTTCGATTGCAGCTTCTTTGCCCCGTGATGTACAATTTAACATCGTAGATTTATGTTTAGTTTTTGTAAAAATTATTTCAAGGTATCTAATATAATCAAGCTTAAATAATCAAAACGTGATTTCTTTTTCTTCCAAAAACCAATTTTTGATTATGAAAAAATTCGAAAGTTCCAAATGATATTTAACAAATAGGTTGCTACGGTTGCCGTAGCGATATCGCCAAGTAACAAAAGTAAACTAGGTAGGTTAAATTTTTGACTAGCTACGACTAAATTATTAATAGTTCTTTCCAACAATAGTTTAATAGTATTTTTAAAAATATTACCTCCGCAAAGCAGGCAGAATTTCATGAAAAGCTTTTTTCCAAACCTAGTTGTGAAAGGAGATCTTTAAAGCGGATATGAATGTAAAAAGATCGTTAAACGAGGCTTTATATTGAAGTACATAGGAGCGTATTGTATTTATGGTTACCAATTAGATACAGGTCTCACCTCCAACGTACCTTTAGAGTAAACGAGAACGAAATTAGCATGTCGTAAAAGAATTTGTAATCTTTGAATTTTTCTGCGATTAAATTTGAATTAAGCATGCACCTTTTCTGTTAAACGGTCGCTTCAAAACATTCATACATCTCTACATATACATAGGAATAAATATACACATTAAAAAGGCAAAATATTGATTGTTCTGTGCCCGAACGGCACACTATTTCAGGTTTACCATTTTTCTTAGTTATTAAAATTATTTCAAATTAAATTTTGAAATCACAGTGGCTTTTATTTATTGGTGCCGTCTTACTTTTTTCTTGACTCAAAGTTGTTGGCAACTCATAAGTATCGATATATCTGTTAGAGAGTATCGATAATGCGTTTTGTTAAAACTTTAATAGTGAAACAACATTGATTCAAAACACCATATAAAATACTTTACAAAAAATCTACTATAACCGTAACAGGATACTATGCTAACATTACCAAAAGCAAAGTTGAGCTGATCAACGTAGATGGTATATGTACAACAATACCCATTGTTGTTGCTACGTTTAGCGTTAGTAAACAAAACACAGCTGACTGCTTGTTGCAAAACAACAACAACAATGTTCATCTGCACAAATTCCTACACCTGTCTYTTATACACATCTAGATGTGTATAAGAGACAGATGTACAACAATACCCATTGTTGTTGC